GGCTGCCAGTGCACATTGCCGGCTCATGTCCAGCTTTTCATCCACCAGCACCCCCAAGTCCCTCTCGGCAGGGCTGCTCTCGATCCTTTCTTCCCCCAGCCTGTATTGATACCGGGGGTTACCCAAATGTTTCTGCTGGTAGGAGGGCATTTGCAAAGATTTTCTATACACAAAAACGGGACGAGGAAAAGTATATCAGGAGAAGTTAACATGCATTAAAAAAACTTCCTAGCTCTACTTCTGTTCCTTTTTTTTTTTTTTTTTTTTTTTGCTGATGCTGCACGTGGACTCAGGAAGCAAGGAAACACAGCTCATTTTCCAGTACCATGCCATGTATCTTCCAGTATTTACCTACACTAATCTTTTTAGTATCTACCCAAAGTTCTAGATATTTCCCAAAATCAAGTTATAGTCAGAAAATCTAAAATACATCCTGATGAAGACATTTTAATCAACAAATGTAAGCTTCCTATTAACTCCACAAAAAGTATGACACTCTCCAGAGCTATACCATCCTTAAGATCATATCATATCCCCCCTCTTCAGAACTTCCATATTCCCTAAGTATCTACAAGTAAAGACTAATCACAGTTCAGACTAATCAGCTAACCAGTTCAGCTGTTGACATTCCAAGGGGTCATTCTGGTTCATATCAAACCAAGTTATTATAACTCTAATCACCATTTTCTTAAAGACATAAAAAGCTTCTTCAGCTCCTATCTGCTCAACCTCATGCAGGTCCAAAGCAACATCTAGGATTCTATCTAGAAACTAAGCAGGAACAAATGCAATTTGGGGATACTGGTGGTACAGGTTCCCCACAATAGCTGTTCCAAACCTACTTGATCCTGACTGGCCCTAAGGAACCTTCCCCACATGGAGCACATGACCATAATTAGCGTTCAACTATAAAGTGCACTCCATAAACATTCCGCATCTTTCTTACTTGTACAGAGTAGCAGTGAGCTATGCTCATTATGTATTTCATCTGAAGTATGATTCTGATCAGACACGATGGACCCACAAAAGAAGTAAGGTGGTAAAAAAACCCTGTTGTGTCTCATGAGCTCTCACACTAATCCTCTGACTGATGCTGTTGTTCCGTGTGGTGCGTAATGTTTAGGTAAGCATGTTCAGGTGAAGTGTATGGACCCCAAAAGCCCATTATTATTGCTTCCCATAACATGATGTATACCTGTACAGGCAGTGGGGGCAGTGGCTTTATGCTGGATGTATAGAAAGCTGCTACTATGCAGAGTACCTTAGCAGCAAGGAAGAACATTCTTGTGCCCTCTGTATCCCACGTACATCTATATTGGGACCATAATCTAACCCATGTGTAAACATTACATTTTCCCTGATTTGCTGAAATAGTATCATTTAACAGTAATTGAAATAAAGGTAAAATATTCCTCAAGGGCAAAAAGGGAATTTATACATAGACCATTTAGTGCACTTATTGATCATTCTTGAGTAATACAGAGTTACCCTTAGCAAACACTATAGAGGTCTGCATTAAAAAAAGAACCCCCAGGTAAGCAAAGTTTATGGCAATTTAATACAGGCACCCTTCCATCCCAGAGACTGTCTGCAAATGCTTCTCTTGAATGAAAAGGAAGTGGCAGTTGGAGGCTCTAAGGCAGAAGAACTGCAGTGTGCATTGCACCTCCCCACACACCAATAGCTCTAACGGGAAAGGGATTTGAAAGGCAATGGGCAGCTCCCAAACACACAGCTGATGTTGTATGAGGCTTTAAGAGCATCTTTAAAGAACAAGGCACAGGTTCTGCAGTATAACAAAAGCATGTATGGCACGGTACCATTCATTCCTGCATAATGCTGCGATTCTTGTTTGAAAAGATAGTTGATATTCACAGCCGACACTGATCCCACTTCCTCTCTCTTTTCCTTTGAAAGCTGTTCCTCTAATTTTTCATGCAAAGACTTGTTTGTCTCGATGCTTCTTTCAAGCTGCACTCGCAAACTCTGTATTTCAGTCAATAGTTCATGTAAGTCAAGTGGATTTTTCTGATCTTTTCGGAATTCTTCTGATGCATCACATCTGGGATCTGAGACAATTTCAAAAGCAACACTTAACATCTTTAACAATTAAAATAATATTAGCCATTATCAGAATGCTGAGCAAGTAAATTATAGCCAGCTTTATCCTCAATATTAAGAATTAACTACAAACAGCATTAAGATAATGGTTTGACAAAAAAGCATGTCTTAATTGCTTCTACCCTCGAAAGATTTAAAGAGCTGGAAGTTATTTTTCACTTTGTCCACAAAAGCTAATAAGTCTCATGCCAAAAGCAAAAAAAATGTAATAAAAAGAGAATGAAGAGGATTTACAAAATTTGAAGTGCATTAATGCACAGGCTGGGGAAAGTAAAAGGAATGGGTAATCTCGGAGTGCGGAGGAGGGATGGAGTAGAATTGGGAGTTTAATTTTATACACAGAAGAAAAAAGAAAATAGCTATCACCTGGCAACTAGAGGAACAAATCTGAACCTGAAAAAAGCAACGGCTGCGTTTGTCTTTTCATAGAAGGAGGTCAGTACACAAACAATTCCATGTATTCTTTCATGCTGAAATCAAACTGTTCTCCAGACAGCGGGGAGGGACTCAACAACGTGAGGAGGGTGCTGCTACTCTCCAATTACATTACCAGTTCTGCAAGAAGACTTACTTCCACCCCTGAGCCAACTTTGGCTTAAAGCCTTATGCCAACAGGGCTCTTCTGCAGCAGCTAGGCATGAAATACAGTGACGGCAGGGCATATTAATTACAGTAGCAGGAAGAAAAAAAACAAAAATAAAAAAAATATCAACTTTTACAAGAACTTCCAATGGGAAATTTGCCAGATCCTGTAAGAAGTATGCAGCAATGAACAGCATTCCACTTCTTTACCTAACCGTGCCCACAGCTATGTGGTGGTATAGCTTCTTTAAAAGGGGTAGCAAAAACACATGCAAGTCTCGTTCCTATCCCTCACCTTCAGTGACAGAAATTATTAAGCGTCTCATTCAGAAAAGAGTGCCAGCACGCCTCCCCAGCCCTAGGGAGAAGACGCTACCCTCATATTCAGACAGAAGAAAGCACAAGCTACCTGAGTAAGTGCTACCTGTGAGGATGCAGCAGCATGTATTTAGATGACAAGTAAATAGCTAAGATCCCCATGAAGTTTATCCAGCCTGAGCCACTGAATCTTCAATATTTGTTTTTAGCTTAGCTAAAAAGATAAAGGAAACTTGGGTGTGCTTAGTCAGAACATACCCCACATCTCAACCTCGCAGGTACACTCCTAAGTAAAAAGCAGCATTTTATCATCAAGTTGTCAGTTCTAGTTTGCATAGCAGACACAAGCAGAAACAAAGAAACAGTGACCTAGCCCTACTGTCCTTTGACAGGACCATATTCAGAGAGGGAAGGGTTGCAAAGGCTAATGGTAGAGAAACAATTGTGCATTTATACCTGTCCTCTTCCTTCTTGCTTCTTCCAACTTCTCATAAACCTTGATCTCAGTTCGGAGTGACTGCAGCAACTTCTCATTCTCAGAGAGCTGACGTTGCTTTACATTAATTTCTGTTTGCAACCTGTTAAGTCCCAATAAATGGCAAAGTTAAGTGTTAAATTCTTATCTTCTGTTTCAAAATCTAAAATCCATTCCCCTTTCCTCCATATTTCTTCCCTTGCCTTTTGAATTTATCTATGCACCTCATTAATGTTAACGGCTATGGCTAAACACATGCTTGTCACATTAGACATTCATTTAGAGAAGAAAATTGTCAAATGTGGACAGAATCAATACCTGTTTAATTCATTACGACTGCTGTAAATCTGACATGTCAGGTATCTGGTTTCATCCTCCTTTTGGCCAATTTGTTTTTGCAACCTTTCATTTTCTTTCTTGATGCGTTCATAATCCTCATGAAGATGCTCAATGATTACATTCTTTTTAGAAAGAGATTCTCTTAACTTTTCATTTTCCTTTTGTTTATCTGAAACAAGAAGCAGCACAAGGTATTTACAATGCTCACAACCCACTAAAGCCATGCTTTTTAACAAAACCAGCTTTTTCAGAGACCATTCAGAAAACAACAGCTGCTCTTGTGAGTTTTAGGATTTCAGTATTTCAATTTTCTAATGACTTTTGCTAGATGCATTTTCTGTAACGTGCAACATTTAACCCCCAGGACACAAAGGCTCAATAAAAACCTGTGTACAGCCTTATGCGCCAAATGACCACACCACCTCTTGGAATTTGGTCAGCAGGATAGTATTCAACAACTGATGTCAGCAGGGTCCCAAAGCAGGGACGTGAATTTTGG